TGGCAAAGAAATGCAAGAAACAATTATTTGATGCCATGGTTCACAGGGAATTAGATAAACTGGAGAAGACAGGTATTAGAAAGTAGTACAAGCACTTGGGTAACAGGGAGATGACACAAAGTGATACTGTAAGGGGGAAGAAAGGTTGGAGGAAGGTTATTGAGACTTTATCAAGGAGCAGTCTTGGGACCTATCTTGCTTAATATTTTTATTAGTGACTTTGGCTCAGAAAGTGAAGAGAGTTAATTAAATAGCTTTCTGTTTCTGACACAAAGTTGTGAGACACATCAGTAAAAGGAAGATCAAGATATTGTGCAATTGGATGACCTTGAAGATTAAGCAGTAGAAATGTTGTAAAATGGACCAGTACCAAATACAAGGTTATTCACCTAAGGATTAAACATAATCCACTTTGCTGTAAACTGGGCTCATAATTTAGAGAGGAATGAAGCAGAGAAAGATGCTAGTGGCTTGGTTCAGATAACACTTGCTGCATTTGCTTTGTCTACAAATTCAATTATTTTATTGCAGAAAAAGATTGGGCTAATCTTGTGCCATATGTTTTTTGAAAACCTATACTGTACTTTGCAGCATGAGATGCCAATGTGATGCAGCTGGTGAAAAGGCAAATGCAATCCTATCTGTAGAGTCAGTAGAGGGGGTCATTAAAGCTGTTGTCTATTTGGCATCAAGAGTGCAGTTCTGGTCACTCGTGTTCAAGAAGGATGAACTTAAGAAATATGTTCAGTGGCAGTTTGCTTTAATGAAAATGTAATACAAAGGGAAAAGAAGATTTGTGTCGCACAGTAAGATGATGGCAAAGAGGCAATATGATTACAGTCTGTAAAACCAACAGGGGTTTGCCCTGTGTGTTGGAAGTAATAATTTAAGCTAACAGAGAGTCTTGGCACAGGAACAGCAGGCATAGACTGGTGCTGAATACATTTAGGCTAGAAATCAGAAGAAACTTTTTAACTATAGGAAAAATGAGGCTCTGAAGCAGGCTTCCACTTAAAGAATTTGGAACAGCACAATTTTGTTCCTATCAAAAAACAGAGGCAAAAATATGACTGGTTCGAGCTGGAGTCTAGTCTGGACAGGATGTATCGACCTGTGGTAGAAGGAAACAGGGTTTAGGCATTTCAAGGGGAGTCTTTGCATCCTGGGTTTTGTATTTTATCCCAGGATGAGTGAAGAGTGAATGAAGTTGCCCTGTGTCCCTGGAGATCTCAGTTCTACATATATAAAGCATGAATCACTCCACAGTTGTGCTAAAGAGTGTGATTTGGTCGTACTTGGTGCTGCACTCTGAGAGCTCAAGGGAAGAGGGAGCTATTTGGCCAGGGAGATGTTTGGTGAAGCAGGTGAGAGGAGTGTGCCAGCAGGTAGGAATCTACCTGGCAGCAATGAAACAACAGGATTTCCAGCAGTCTTTTTAATGAGAACGTCCTTGGAGACCTCATGGGCACACATGAATGCATGATAAATCACAACTCCGTTCTCTCTGGAGAAATGGACTGTGACGAGCCAGTGCACCCCAGTGCACGGTGTGTTTCGGAGAGAGGGATGTGGGTGTGCTAGAAGGTTTCACCTCATTGTCTTCGTCATGTGGTTGGTTTTTTTTTTTTTTTTTTATTTTCCTTCTCCCTCTTTCTGTAGTTTTCTGCCTGTCTAGTTTTCAGTTTGCATCACAAGATTTTACAGCTCCCCATTTGTTAATGTGTATATTTATAATTGCTATAATACAATTTATAGGTGTTCAGTTTTATAAAAGGAGGCACCTGAGCATGAGCCAAGGGTGGCTTAAGTACTCTCCTGGTCTGAGGAAGTCAGGTGATTATTCCTGGGAAGAAGAGCAAATATTTATGATTTAGCAAACAATTTCTTTTCCAGGCAAAGCACTTTGATAAAAAAAAAAAAAAAATCTCATTTATTCATGAACAATTTCAAGATAGATAAAAATGAACAACCTATAGAAAAAATTATCACAAGTCATGCTTCTGTTGCCATTTTTAAGCAAAACATTGCTTTAGTGTGTCTTTGTCTATCACAAAGTGATTTCTAATTCACTGGAGGCACAGCACCCTCTCCTACACTGTCACCACCACCATTTTGAGGAATCAAGTAGGCTGACATTTGATTCAGAAGCACAGTTTGGTCATGCCTATGTGCTGGAAATCTATCAGGGTCCTGAATATTACAGAAACAACAGGATCAAGCAGTCAGTTGGTTGAGTGCCTGAATCTTTTCCTTAAACTGTAGAAATGGACAAAGAGACCGTCTTTGGGTAATAATTCATTTTTCTGCCAGCTCTGGCACCCCTGATCAGAGGCATCATTCCAAGATGCTGAGTGCAGCATTTAGAACAGCACATCCTTGTTCTTGCGAAAAATCAAGCTTGAATGGCACAGAATAGGGCCGTCTTTCATGAAGCAATGAAATGACTGCTTGTCAGATGCTTCTCACAGGTCACTTCTGTCAGGCAGTGAGGATGAATTTGAACTAGTTTGACACAGACAGCCCAGTGAAAGGCCACTCGGTGCTGCGAGGGGGAAATGTGTGGGGCAGTGGTACAGCCGGGGGGGTCGGGGGCATCCAGGACCTCTGCCACCCTGCAAGGCTCCTTACTGCTCCTTAATGTGCCTCTAGTGCAAACCGTGGTGACTGTTCCAGTCTCCCCTCTTTACTTTTGGATTTTTATGTGCATCTGTGATTTGGACTAAAGGCTTTCATGCTTGTGCTGGAAGTTGTCTTGGTTTAAAGGAAGCTGCCCTTACAAGAACATTCTGCTGTCATGAGTGCCACAAAAGATGTTTCACATCTTTAAATGTGGCAGCTGTCCTTGTCCTACTGCAGGTACGATGCAAATGGCTAAAAACACTCCTGCACAGGGGGGAATGATGGCTTTGCCTGGCTCTGAAATCATGTTTCTTGTGAGATGCTGTGACAATATGGACAGGATGCAGGTAGTATAGATATGTTATATTGTACAGTTTGCATTACAGTGCATGTAGTGATTCACAGAACACAAACAGGAAAGAGGCAAGAGGTCTGAATTTTTAATGATATTTTGTAAGTACTTTGAAAAAATGGTAGCCAATACCCACACAAAAGGCTCAAGCACCCATATTATCTGCAAAGCTTTACCTTGAACATCTATTTAACTTGCAGAAACAATAAAATAAAATTAAAGATAAAATAATAAAAGATTCAGTACTAAAACCAGAAATGTGAGCTTTTAATTACTTATGTTTTTCTGGTCCCCTTGAACAATGAACATCAGCAGCAAAAGTCCAGGGAATCTCTTCAATACTTTGATATTCCCCTGTAATGTGTCTTCCAAAAAATTCTATCGGCTCCTGAGCAAGCCCACCTGAAGCTTCTTCCTGTGTACAGAGCAGTTAACAGCACATCCCTACTGTTAGTATTCAGACACTTCATCATGTAATGATGCTCTGTAGCGCTGTTGGAAAGTCACAGTTCCCAGTCCTGTGATGTCCAGAGGTTTTCCATAAGCCTGGTTCTGTTTTCCCTGGGGAAATTAATCTCCTTCTCCCGATTTCTCCTGGTTCAGTCTCAATTTAGGGCTTTGTAATGCTTAGGAGAGAGTGCCTTCTTCATTAACTGGTATTAATGATGTATGATCTTGATGCATTGCCCACTGAAGTTGGAGCTGGTTGCTGCAGCTTCGATCCCAGTGCACAGGAGAGTGCAAAGTTGCTGCTGGGGTCGGGTTCGTTCTTTCAGCGTCCCTTCGACAGCTCTCAGGCAGTGACATGTCCATGGCCTTGTGCTGCAGACCAGGGTCTGGGTTCTTAGGTCCTGGCTGTCAAAAATTGCTCATCATGACACTGGATAATCCAGAAGTGCTGGAAGTATACTGAAACTACAGAAGTCAGAGCTGACTTAACGAGTTAATAAAAGCAAACATCCAGCTTGCTGCTTTCTGGCTCTGTATTAATCAAACTATACAGCACAGCTTTCCTGCCCAAGCCCTGTTTTGGAAAGTGTAGATTCAATATGCTGGCTTTTATGTTCAAGCTGTATTAAAAGCAGCAAAATAGGATACAAATTGCTTCCTGTGGATGTCTGTGGTTTTCTCCTGTAAGTCATTTGAATATAATTTCTTAGTAGCACTTTTGTCCTAAGCCAAATTATTTAGTCTCTCATTTAGTCTACTGCCATGTGCCTCCTATGTCTGCTGCTTGCTGTGATGAAGTACCATTTGGGTATGTCCTCAACGTTGACTCCACCAGGAGGACATCAGAAATCTCATTAAAGAATTGCAAAGACTTTGTGAGGCTGAAATGTCTCCTGTAAATCCATTAATCTCCATATATAATTTATTCTTCATGTTTCTCTTTTGGAGCTGTCAAATATCTTTGACAGTATCCTTCTTTCTTTAAAAACTTTAAAATGACACTATATAACTACTTATTCTTAGAACAGTGAAACTGCTTGCTCTTTCATGAATTTATAAAATGTTTTTAATTATAAATCAAATGATGAGTAATTTCTTTTCCTTGGCAATCCAAGGGAAGAATGAGTCAATTGACCTCATGGGCTTGGCAAAGCAGCATCCAAAGGAGAAGCACTATCCTCAGTTTAGACAGTACCACCGAGCGTACTTGCTGCTTGCATGTCTGCCAAACTGCCAGCCCTTCAGTCAAGGGCCTAACTGAACTTCAGAAGTCATGGTGACACAAAGGTATTGATCTCTATACTTTGCTTTTCTACCTAAAACTTCTCTCAAAGGAAATGTTTTATGTGGTAATAGCAGTGAGAGTTTTGGTAGAGAACAGCTGCTGCCCTTGAATGGTATATGGGCCAACCTGTCAAACTGAGGTTTTAGCAACTCTGGATTTCTCTTTGTCCTTCTTCACTGGGCAGCTCCTCCTCCTCAGCAGCACAGGAAAGCAAGAACATACCCAGATGCAAGTAAGCAATCAGTCTAATGCAAACAATGCAACGGGTTAACCAGACCCTAAGGAAATGGGGCTTTACAGACCTTTGTAAACCTGAGAACAAGGAACAACAGGTTGGTTGCATAAAACAGTGTCAACTTAAAATGAGAGATGAGGGTTCCCTCTGGCAGAGTGACTGTTAGCTGTGGCTTCTTCCCATGATTCATATGAAAGGAGTCTGTGGCATCCTTCTGGCTGCCAGTGAGGTGCAAACCTAGATAATAAGCAAGCAGTTCTAGCAGACACAGCATGAGGCAAAGGGTAGGTGCTCTGCATCAGAGGAAAAGTTCCTCCTGGCCAAGTCAGAGGTGCATTATTGGGGGAGTGCAAGCATGGTTGCTGAACTTGTGAAATTAATCCTTTCGGGACTTTGCCCTTTTTCTTCCCCTCCTTTCTCACTGTCCATTCCTAATTCATTTCACAGTATATGCATGCACACCATAGTCTCATCCCAAGAACTTGCTGTCCAGCTGTGGAGAGCCTCTAACATTGCCTGTCTTTGTGAGTAGATGGTAAGATACTGTGTCTGCTCAAATGAGTGCTGCCACATGCCATTTTTGTGCTGTGGTAGCTTATAATGAGGTAGACCTTAGTCATCCATCTGTCTTTCATAGAGGATCTTGCATATCTATTCAGCTCTTTTCCAAAAGAAACCACAGGCAATTAAAATCATCCCAAGGTCTCCCTGGCTTCCTGCTTCTAATCTACATTCTCAAGAATGAATCAAAACCGTGAGAGGAAATTGTGTTTGGTCCTATACTTTTTAGAGGCCTGGAGCGGAAGAGCAAGGAAGAAAAGAAATGAGATATATTTATAAACCAAAAACTCAGGGTACATTCATCTGACAATTCAAGGTCTTACTTGAGCAGACACACTGATGTAAAGAATAGGTATGTGTGCATTGCGTCCCTTGTTCCTCCTTCCTTAATAAGAGGCTACTATGCTGTAGCTGCTATTCCAAGTGACTTTAATGTTTTTCCTATTTTATCTTGTTCTTTTGCTGCAGTGTTTTGTATGCAGTTGGGTTTTTGTGTGTGTGTGTGTTGAAGCATATATTTCTGTAGTTCCTTCCTGGATTAAAAAGGAAAATGTAATGAAGTAAATTGCTAGTTTCAGCTAATACAGGGGCATTTGGTAGGCACCATCTCTGCTGCTGTCTCTGGGTAAGCTCTTACCTCTGAAGGCAAATGAATGTTAACAAAACCTGGCGTAGGACTGTCCACCACTTGAGATTGTCCCTCTAAATGGAAAGAAGCTGCTCTGGAAGTCAGGTTGCCTATGATCATTTGCGCTGCTGAATAG